AGTGAATCATGTATTTATCTTTTGTTTAAGTGGACCTTTTTCATATTCCTTTTCTGGTAAACCATCAACACACATTTTTGTCAAACGTGTTTCTCGTTGTTTATTTGTTTTGCATATAGCTTCCCTTCACTGTGTACATTTTTAAATCCAGGTTAAAAACACTTCTCTTCTCCTGTGCTTATGATTGAGCTCTCCTGTGCTTATGATTGAGCTCTCCTGTGCTTATGATTGAGCTCGTTCAAAGAACTTTAAATTGTAATCTTTCATTTGCACTATGTCCTTTTTAGTCATTATTTTATGCTGCTCTATTATAGTATTTTATTTCTTTCTCTTTCTATTATTCTGTAGTTGTTTTTTTTATTTTTATTTTTTATTATATATTTTTTGTATTTCAATTCTTACTGTTAAATGTTTGTTTTATGTAAAGCGCATTGAGTTGCCATTGTGTATGACATGCGCTATATAATTAAAGCTGCCTTGCCTTCAAATAATGGGAAATTGTGGTGAATGACAAAAGGATGAGGGTAATGGTCACATTTGACTCACGAGTAAATGGTCACATGCCCCGCCCCCCCCCCGACTTTTCCTTTTCCTTTGTCTTGTAGGGCTTTAAGAAACATGATGCCCTGGTGTGGGGCAAACAATAAGAGGAAACCTAAACAGAAACTACTAACCCGGTCATTTCTTTTTCACGAGGGACAAGGTTGTTTCCATCTAAATAATGATAACAATAATAATGCGCACCGCATGTGTCCCAAAATAGCTTTTCCATACTCGCTGTTATTCCCCTAGATTATTTTGTTTTACAGTTCATGGTAAAGACATCTATGTCCATAATTGGCTCCATTGGTTATTACATTGTCTACAGGAGCAAGACGATTTGTCCTATTTGATATATTCAAATAATAATTGGATTCCTATAACCAACCAAACTACGACCAGACTTCAGTCACGCCGGTGAAGAAATACTTCAAACAGAAAGAAAGTATTCAAATCAAGTTTTTCAAGTTTTTTTCCAAGTATCAAGATTCCAGAGATTTATTCATCGTTCTTCAACACTTGGTTGGCATATGGTGCAGGGGCCTGTAACACATCCTCAATCTATATAACCTGTATAGTAAAGTCACGTTATGAAAATGTAATTGTTAATTAGCAGTTCTGTATTTAGAATAGGTGTGTGTTAAACATACGAAAAGTGGCGTCTGTCTTTAATGGCTTTGATGTGCCGTGTCCCTTCTTGAACTTGGGAAACTGCACTTTGAAGACCAGGTCACCAGCAGACGTGGCTCGGGACTGTTAGCATTTTCATTGAAATGCATGCAGGTAAAGCCTAAAAAAATAGTATTAATAACATCAATTGCATAGAGCACATACATAAAGATGTGTTGAGACAGTGTAATATATTATTTACCTGCACAGCATTCAAATAAATGGAAAGAGGGTCTGTCTGGCAGCCCACAGTCCTTACATAACACGAGATGTGCAGCCTAAAGGCAGGGAATAATATTATATATCTGTCTTGAAAAGTGCTATATAAATGCAATTATTATTATATATAATATTATAATAGGAAACCTAATGTATCCTGTTTTGGTCATAGTAAACTGTTTTTTTCAGATTAGTTTAGGCCAGCTGGTATAAGTTATACAATTCAGAAGGGTCATTTTAGGAAGTCAAGAGTGAATCATGTATTTATCTTTTGTTTAAGTGGACCTTTTTTACATTCCTTTTCTGGTAAACCATCAACACACATTATGTCAAACTTGTTTCTCGTTGTTTTTTTGTTTAGCTTCCCTTCAAATAACGGGAAATTGTGGTAAATGACAAAAGGATGAGGGTAATGGTCACATTTGACTCACGAGTAAATGGTCACATGCCCCCCCCCCCCCCCCCCCCCCCTCCCCGACTTTTCCTTTTCCTTTGTCTTGTAGGGCTTTAAGAAACATGATGCCCTGTGGGGCAAACAATAAGAGGAAACCTACAGAACCTACAGAAACTACTAACCCGGTCATTTCTTTTTCACGAGGGACAAGGTTTTTTCCATCTAAATAATGATAACAATAATAATGCCCACCGCATGTGTCCCAAAATAGCTTTTCCATACTCGCTGTTATTCCCCTAGATTATTTTGTTTTACAGGGACTTTCACATCCTTATGAAAGCCTGGGGGACAAAACGTGGTTCCCCCTCCTTTCCGGAATAGAAATTAAATATGTGCTAAATTGGCAAATTTAGTGTAGCAATACATTAAAGTAATTACATTATTAAAAAACAAAACATATACATATAATATAGTAGCAATCGTAACAGGAGTTACTATGTATTATTATTATTATTATTATTATTATTATTATATGTATTATATTATTAAGTAACAAAGACAAGGTAGAGTAAGAGACTTGCGGGAGTGTTTACTGTAAGAGCCAGCATTATTGTTCACAAGTCTCTACAAGATGGATAGTTTTTCTTTCTTTCTTCCTTTCTTTCTTTTTTCTTTTTATGACCTTTGTACCCCTTTCCGCCTCATGGTAATATCTCAGTTTGACGGCTTCGGTTAATCTCAAGGTAATCTTAGTTGTGTGTTTTTAAAGGTGTGTGTGTGTGTGTGTGTGTGTGTGTGTGTGTGTGTGTGTGTGTGTGTGTGTGTGTGTGTGTGTGTGTGTGTGTGTGTGTGTGTGTGTGTGTGTGTGTGTGTATTACTGTAAGCCATGCCTAGGCATGTTTAATTGCTTTTCACTAAATTGCAATGTCAAGTCATAAAGTAGTGGGATGAGTGATAACTTATGAGAAAATATGTTGTAGTATGTTCACGTCACATTTATGAGCAGACTTACAGCAAACTGTAAAACGTGTTAAGACAAAGAACATATGAACATGTACTTAGTTTAAATCCAATGAACCATGAAATCAGTGTATGTGCGGTATGCGCTGTATGCGGCGCATACAGCGCATACCGCACCAGGGGGGGCGCCCCCGTCAACAATCGCGCAGACCCCCCTGTCACCCCCCCCCCCCCCCCCCCCCCCCCCTGTCGTCAACAATCGCGCAGCACACCCCATAATGTTTAGGGGGGGGGTCCAAAAGCCCAAAGCGATGGTTAACATAGCACCACCCCCCCCGTCAACAACCGCGCACCCCCGTAATGTTTATGGGGGGCGCCAAAATTGTTGCTGCATACCCCCCTGACACTGGTAGTTGCACCCCCGCTCAACAATCGCGCAAAAGAAATCCTCCGGCAGCACCCCCCCCCCCCCCCCCCCCCTTCCCCCCCTCAACAATCGCGCAACAGAAATTCTCCGGCAGCACCCCCCCCCCCCCCCCTTCCCCCCCTCAACAATCGCGCAACAGAAATTCTCCGGCAGCACCCCCCCCCCCCCTCCCCCCCTCAACAATCGCGCAACAGAAATTCTCCGGTAGCACCCCCCCCCCCCGCTCAACAGAAATCCTCGCGTTTTTGAGCACCTGCCCCTCAAAGGGTCTCTGCACGGCCCTGGTGGGAATACATGCAGGTGGTTTATCGCCAGAAACGGAACCAATGCGGGACTCATTTCCAACTCACTGCAAATAAAGGCAATTGCATACCGATTCACAATAAAATGCATCATGCATGCGCAGTTTACAGTCTTGCACATCTGCCATGTGTCGTGTGTTGTCGTCAGCTACAAATGTGCCGTCATTTCGCAACAGCGTCTGGCCTGCGTCAGATGAAACGTGCGTAATCCTGCCACACGTCGTTCAACTTATATTGCATATTTTGAGCTAGAGAAGGTGGTGAGTCACTTACTCACCACAAAGGCATTTACAACGTATTATTATATAACCAACTATGAAACACTATGTTAAGCATATATATATATATATATATATATATATATATATATATATATATATATATATGCATTGTCATACTTTATGCATTGACGACTAATTTCACAAATATGAACCGTCATGCACCATGGGGAAACATGCGTAATATTGACACATCTTGGACCTTCATCATTGATGACTTGTCCTTAAGTTGTATATTTTCTAAGAATGACACATGAACAAACTCCGCAAGTGAAAATGTTTGCCATAAGGATTCATCTGTGGTTTGTTGCAAAAGGTTGGTGGTAATTTAAATGCCTTAATACATTTTTCAGAAAATGTATTCCCTTGTAAAATATGTAATTTTACAAGGGAATACTTATGAGGCCCGTATAGTCTTTGGCCTTTTGTTATAGGTCTCTAAAGCTACATTGGCTGTAGCCATATGGTGCAAAAAGGAGAATCATTATATTCATTATTACATGAATCTTTGATCCATGTTTCACGGCAGTAGAAAAGGGTCTCTAGTGCCCTCTTGTGCCCTTTAGTCTTAATTACAGTTGATGCAGGAAGGCAAAACGCTTAACTTGCAAAAATAGTCTTACTATTTTTGCAAACCTTAGAAGTCTTACTGCAGTGAAAAAACTGCCAACAATTACTGATGCTAGCATGATGCTAGTATCATGTAGTATTCATCTTGCTAGTTGTTAAGGTGCTTCTTTTTCAAGTAATGCTCCTGCTCGTATCCTGTAATGTTTTAAAAGTACTTTGCAGTAGGTTGTGAAACAAATACACATATTACAGATGCCTTACAGTGCTATGAGTTTCTTTTCTGTACATCAGAGACTCTTCATTTTCTTTGAGACACATGAGAAAGGCAATTTTCATTATAGAGCAGCTGTGCAGCAGTCTGTACACTGGAGAAGTTTCCAGGTAGGAGCTAGCCGTGGTGTTGATTGGTCAGCTATTACTGTTTAGTTAACAATGTTTTTATCCAAATCCACTTTGTGATTTCAGAGACACTTCATTAAGGAACAGGTTAGGGGTTAGGCATCTTAATCAAGGATAGGTATATGGATATTCAGGAACCCAGTCCTTTCATCTGGGAGTGGATCTCTGTTAAAGATGACGTTTAGCTTTCCCTGCTTTTACAAATGATTCTGCTTGAATCTGATTTTTTGCTCACAATTTGTGCTAAAATAGCTCAGTTGGGAGACCGTTAGACTGAAGATCTGAAGGTCCCTGGTTCAATGCTGGGTTTCTGCTTTCCTTATTTCACATCTTGAAATTGTTGATTTCCTATGCACGTCCTAAAGCAAAAGTAAATGTGTTTTGAGTTTGTCACACCACAGAAAAAATATGTTATTAACCACCCAGCAAAATTTTAATCATTAAAAAAGCATAAATGAAAATAAGCATTATTCTCAGCTCTGAGATGCGACACGACTGAAAGCCTCACGATTACAAGACAGCAAGTTGTTCAGTATGAACAGTACAGCGATCTTACGACGAATCATGTAGTGTGTCTTGTGGCTTAAGATGCACTGTGTTGCAGTCATTAAACAGCGCATTAGCTTTAGTTAGTTGTGTGGAGGAGAACATGTCATGGACGGATGCATATTGCTACTGTGGCAGTTTACCCCTGCCTGCCACACGCAACCTTATTGGCTTTTGCTGTGCCCCTCCGACACAGGACACGGGTAGATGTTGGTTGAATGTACGGTATTTATTGAAGATGGCAAGATGTTAAAAGCCGAGCAGTTGGTACATGCTGCCATGACAGTGGCTCTCTGCTGAGTGTGTGTGGTGATAACTGGTTTATCCTGGGTGCCATGATTGCTCTTTCCCCACAGGTGTGCAGCCCCACCCAGTGGAGTCCAACCAGTCTGACTCAGGCCAGGTGAGGCTGTGCAGCCACACACACACTCCCCATACCCCCAACACTAAATTGAGCCTACTCCCCCTCCCCCATCCAAGCAAGCAGAAAGAAAAACTACAAACTGGACTCTCAACAGGGTTACCATACCTACACAAAACCTGGACTCTTTACAGGCTTTACAGGGTTGCCATACCTAAAATTAAAATTAAAACAACCCCCAAACCCCACTGCCTCTACACCTCCCCAGTGTCACACGCCAACCCCATCCTCCCCCTCCATCCTGGAGTCCGGGGGCCTGGGGCCGCCGCCTCGGCCGACGGAGGTGTCTCTGGGCTGGCCGTTTGCAGGGGCTGGCTGGATGAGCTCGGTAGGAGGCCTGACAGCTGGGCCGCGAAGGTAGCTCCTCGGAGGGCCTGGAGCAGCCCTCGGGAGGTCCCCCCCTCCACCAGGGCAACGGCGCACGATCCCCATCTCCTGAAGCATTGGGGCCTTGGGGCTGTAGTGCTGGCTGGCAGAGGCGTGGCTGGACCTGGCTGCTCCAGGCTGGATCCGGGGGAGGCTAGCCACAGACGGTTGCCCATGGCGGTTGCTGCGCTGCCTCCCTGCTCCTCTGCTGGCCCTCACTGCTGTTCAGGAGGGCCGGTGCTGAGGTGGCTGTCCGTGACCGTGGCTGTTGACTCCAGAGCGGGTAGCAGCGTGACTGGGTTTTCTACCCTCTCTGAGCTGCCTCAACCCTGAACACAGACCCAAACTGTTTACAAGCCTCTCAAGTGTTAAATACCACGACGACCTGAAAAATCGATGCTCCTTCTTAGAGGTGCAAATGTACAGAGCCCCTCTGGGGTCACATGGTAGAAAAAAAACTTGATGTGCAAATCTGTGTGAACAAATTTGTAAACCTTGCCCTCGGATTCACAATCTGTGCCCTCGGATTTGGTTTGTTCTCCACAGCAGGGAATGGACTGGACCATTCATACACAAATACATGCATTGCCCCTGGAGCATTCTGACGGCAAACGCATATCTGATTCAGACCGACATCTATATGTTCTCTTCTGTCTTTTAAGTATGAATGACTGAATGTAGTGTTTATCTTTTCACATTTGACTGTACAGTTATGTTTGCTTTACAATCATTTTAGAGCCTTCTCTTTTTTCCCTTCTACCATATGATCCCAGAGGGGCTCCGTTACATTGGCCATATCAGTGGTTCCCAAACATTTTTGTCAGCCCCCCTTTGGTGAAAATAAGTAATGCGGGCAGTCATTCAATTATCAGTAGTTAAAGGGATCGTTTGGATTTTTTGAAGGGTGGTTGTATGAGGTACTTATCTAGAGTCAGTGTATTACCTACAGTAGATGGTACTTATCTAGAGTCAGTGTATTACCTACAGTAGAAGGTACTTATCTAGAGTCAGTGTATTACCTACAGTAGAAGGTACTTATCTAGAGTCAGTATATTACCTACAGTACAAGGTACTTATCTTGAGTCAGTGTATTACCTACAGTAGAAGGTACTTATCTTGAGTCAGTATATTACCTACAGTAGAAGGTACTTATCTAGAGTCAGTGTATTACCTACAGTAGAAGGTACTTATCTAGAGTCAGTGTATTACTACAGTAGAAGGTACTTATCTAGAGTCAGTGTATTACCTACAGTAGAAGGTACTTATCTAGAGTCAGTGTATTACCTACAGTAGATGGTACTTATCTAGAGTCAGTGTATTACCTACAGTAGAAGGTACTTATCTAGAGTCAGTGTATTACCTACAGTAGAAGGTACTTATCTAGAGTCAGTATATTACCTACAGTACAAGGTACTTATCTTGAGTCAGTGTATTACCTACAGTAGAAGGTACTTATCTTGAGTCAGTATATTACCTACAGTAGAAGGTACTTATCTAGAGTCAGTGTATTACCTACAGTAGAAGGTACTTATCTAGAGTCAGTGTATTACTACAGTAGAAGGTACTTATCTAGTCAGTGTATTACCTACAGTAGAAGGTACTTATCTAGAGTCAGTGTATTACCTACAGTAGAAGGTACTTATCTTGAGTCAGTGTATTACCTACAGTAGAAGGTACTTATCTTGAGTCAGTATATTACCTACAGTAGAAGGTACTTATCTAGAGTCAGTGTATTACTACAGTAGGAGGTACTTATCTAGAGTCAGTGTATTACTACAGTAGAAGGTACTTATCTAGAGTCAGTGTATTTCTACAGTAGAAGGTACTTATCTAGAGTCAGTGTATTACTACAGTAGGAGGTACTTATCTAGAGTCAGTGTATTACTACAGTAGAAGGTACTTATCTAGAGTCAGTGTATTACCTACAGTAGAAGGTACTTATCTAGAGTCAGTGTATTACTACAGTAGAAGGTACTTATCTAGAGTCAGTGTATTACCTACAGTAGGAGGTACTTATCTAGAGTCAGTGTATTACCTACAGTAGAAGGTACTTATCTAGAGTCAGTGTATTACTACAGTAGAAGGTACTTATCTAGAGTCAGTTTATTACTACAGTAGAAGGTACTTATCTAGAGTCAGTGTATTACCTACAGTAGAAGGTACTTATCTAGAGTCAGTGTATTACCTACAGTAGGAGGTACTTATCTAGAGTCAGTGTATTACCTACAGTAGAAGGTACTTATCTAGAGTCAGTGTATTACAGTATGAGGTACTTATCTAGAGTCAGTGTATTACCTACAGTAGTGTGACGAATGTATAACCGCACATATAACAATAAGCTGTATTAACTGCACCTGGCCACCAGATGGCAGCACACATAATACACTGGGGGCGGGCGCTCAACACTAGCCAATCAGAGCATAGTATGCGTCATAGAGGCCACGCCTGCCCAGGTACTACCAAACCACACAACCGGGGGAAGAGCAGAAACCCTAGAGGCCGCGTATCTGTTAGATATCCGGCTAAGGGTCGCTCCACGCGTGAACTATACAATGCCCCTCCTTTTGCTTCATAGATAATATACCTAAAGCTAAACAAATAAAGTGACTTAAAAGCGATCCTGTGTCGGCGGCCTTCTTCCTCAAAGAACATCACAACAGTAGAAGGTACTTATCTAGAGTCAGTGTATTACCTACAGTAGAAGGTACTTATCTAGAGTCAGTGTATTACTACAGTAGAAGGTACTTATCTAGAGTCAGTATTACTACAGTAGAAGGTACTTATCTAGAGTCAGTGTATTACCTACAGTAGGAGGTACTTATCTAGAGTCAGTGTATTACCTACAGTAGAAGGTACTTATCTAGAGTCAGTGTATTACTACAGTAGAAGGTACTTATCTAGAGTCAGTGTATTACCTACAGTAGAATGTACTTATCTAGAGTCAGTGTATTACTACAGTAGAAGGTACTTATCTAGAGTCAGTGTATTACTACAGTAGAAGGTACTTATCTAGAGTCAGTGTATTACCTACAGTAGAAGGTACTTATCTAGAGTCAGTGTATTACTACAGTAGAAGGTACTTATCTAGAGTCAGTGTATTACCTACAGTAGAAGGTACTTATCTAGAGTCAGTGTATTACTACAGTAGAAGGTACTTATCTAGAGTCAGTGTATTACCTACAGTAGAAGGTACTTATCTAGAGTCAGTGTATTACTACAGTAGAAGGTACTTATCTAGAGTCAGTGTATTACTACAGTAGAAGGTACTTATCTAGAGTCAGTGTATTACTACAGTAGAAGGTACTTATCTAGAGTCAGTGTATTACCTACAGTAGAAGGTACTTATCTATAGTCAGTGTATTACCTACAGTAGAAGGTACTTATCTAGAGTCAGTGTATTACCTACAGTAGAAGGTACTTATCTAGAGTCAGTGTATCACACAGATGCTAAGCAATGTACTGCGGTGAACAGTAAGTAAAACAAGTTGGAGGTAAAACAAGCTGCTTAAGCTTTTGCTAATTTAAATAATGTAACGATAACACTGCAGCATAAACCGGATACAGTACCGGATAAAGTTTCGGAGTAGGCGGGCTTTAGACTGGATCACGAACTCAACAGTAAATAGACACTAAAATAGGGATGCAAGGTTAGTTATAAGTTGACACGCAGAAAAATTACTGCCAAAAAAAGAAAAAGTTGTGCACTAGTAATTTAAGCGAGTTGGAAAATGATGTGCAGTTGGAAAAAAACAATTCTGCACATGTAACTAAGAGTTTTACTGCACAACCCCATCCATTTTACCAGTACAAAATATTTTTTTACAAGTACACAATTGCTTTACAAGTTCACAACTTTTGTTTTATGAATGCACACAATATTTTTGCAATCACAAAATTGTTTTACAAATACAAACCTAATGGCATTAAAATAAGCCCCCCCCCTTCAGCATCCCTGCGCCTCCCCTCCCCCTTTGGAAACACT